TTAAAATATTCGTCAAACACAGAAGACAAGGTGAAACCTTACAATTTTAATCCAATTCCCTGTAATTTCAATTTTATTCGGATTTGTTATTTTAAGTTTATGGCAAAAGTAAGGCGACAAGGCATAGCAGGATCACAATTGTTGTCATGTATCATAAATGAAGACCAAACAATGGTTGTCGAGTGACAGACACTTCTGACTTCACCACGTCACCATAAGTAACAACTGCTAAAACTATCCAGTATTAACTGGTTATGTCCTCCAGCAGTATTTTGATAAAAAATAATTTCCTTTACCAAATCATTGCAAAACTGGTCAGATAATAAACGACGTTATCGAAGTTTGGATAAACTGATTCCTGTAATCTCGGTGAATTCCACGAGTAATGAAATAAAACGGGTCGGTCCTAAAGCTCCGGAATAAAATAAAAAGTGCGAATGGATTTTCCTGTTGCTAACTATTAAATTAAGTTTCTCGGTACTATTACGCTAGGTACAACCACATTGGTGTGTTTTATTTACACAGAAAAACAAAATAATGTACCTTCATTATTTAACTCGTCGAATACCGGTTTTGTAGACACAATTATAGAACAATAGGTTGCGGTCACCGGTGACCGCTTGGTGTTTGACAGTTTAAAGTGCAATATACTCGTCTTTCGGGGTGGTCCGAAGCCGCTACATTTAATGCATCAAACGCCACTTAAAGGCAAGTCTAAGACATCTTTGATCAATTCTAATCACTACTACATTCAGCCTTGAAAAAGAAGTCTTAAGTAAACTATAAGACCTCTAAATAATTTTATTATAGTCCTTAATTAAAGAAGAATATCAAAATGTCCTTTCAATTTGTCACTGTCATCCAGAATTTTATTCGTAGAGGGAGCTACTGTCGTTTAATGGCATGAAGTATCAACTTAATATCCCAATAAAGTATCAGGAAGGCATTATTACTAGTCGAAGAGGCCACGCACGACAAATTAGATACTTCCTTTTATTCTGCAACGGCAATGATGACATCATCCATATGGGTCCATGAATTAATATCCTACACTACTGGCTAAGGTACTACAGAACACATTTATGAGGTTTGGTAACTAAAATTATGGACAAGTTAATACAATAAAAAAGCCTTAAATGTCGAAGATTTATTCCTCCGAATGTTTTGATTCCAAAATAAACATTTTAGACAGTATCAAAATTAACCGAGATCGTATTTTCGCATCATTACTGTCGGGAGATCTAATTGATGTCCAATAAAAGTCGTGTAATGATGTGTAAAATGAAACAGATCTGTCAAAAGATTTTCTATTGCCAGATAAAATTCGAATCTAGCTTAGAATTAAACTTAATTTACGAGTAAGTGGGGAAAGTTTGCTGGCCATCGCAAACCGCAGTCTTCGAAGAACCTTATGCAATGAAATTAATCATACAAAATACCAAGTAAATAGACTACGGGCTGAAAAGAATCTTCACAATCTATAGAAAACTGAGCGAGTAAAAATAACTAGATGATTTAACTGGACTCTTTGCGCAACCATTATTTATGTCAACCTCAAACTATTTCAGTTTTAACGTATGTTAAACAATTTCAACGAAAATAGATTTAGGGCAAGGATATTGTCAGATCCAATGTATTTACTTTGATGTGTCAAGTTATCCAGAAACGAGTGTCGTCATTAAGCGGGCGTTTATGAAACAATTTGTCTTGGCCTTAACGTACCGGTTATTTTGGTATCGCCCGTTCAAAGTAGGTCGACAGCACATGGTAAGAATCTATCATAAAGTTGCGACACTGCACCGGTGTTTGCACGTAATTAGATGTGAACGAAAATACACCTTTTATGGAATCTCGTTCCGCTTTCGAGTAATAAAAATGTTTATTGTACTTACCTACTTCCTTCTGAATTAAAGTTGTAAATTCTTATAATGTAACTGAAACCTTAGTTTTATTAATGATGCTTTAATGCAAAATCCTAATAATTTTATGAACTATGCAGATGAAAAAAATTATAACTAAATGTGAGAAACTCAGAGAATTGCTATTAAGACTCCATGTCCATGTCATTACTCTGCAGGAAACAATAATAAAATTAGTCACTTCAGTTTTTTTCCTGTAGTCAAGAGGTCTGCATACCTATATTGTGTAAGTTTCTTGTTTATAAAAAAAAATAATCTGATACTATCTTGCAGGTGTTCATGAAAATTGAGTTGTATTCTTATATTTTTTTATATCTTATCTAGTTCAATAACGGACAGTTTTCAGTAATCTTGATATACGTTAATATTATGGTTTGATAAATTCCGTATACTGACTATAACTATACAAAGATAAAAGTAAAAACGGAGTGTTCATTGAAATATTATATCTTGCTTTATATGATACATAGTGGAAACTTGATATTCTGTCAGCGCTAGATGTTAGCGGGGCTTTTATATTTTACTTTCACATTTACTAGGACTTTGATCTGTCTCTCAACCTAAGAGATAGAATTACACAGTCTATAAGGGGATAGAATTACATAGTGAGTAACTCTGAACTAGAAATATAACAAATATTACAAATGGAACAAACATTCAAGGAATACAAAAATGACTATTTAAATGGAAATTATAGACAACATTAATTTTTAAATAGATTATAGATTATATGGTATGTTATGTAAGTAGGTGCTATAGAATATCTTAATACTAGGTTATAAAAAAATTAAAACAATAACTAAGGTCCTACATAATGTGGAGCACATTAAGGAAAAACAATATGTGATATTATGTAAATATCTAAAAGCAAAATACACTCAGAACATGATTTACAATTACATAAATAGCCTGAATAGTTATATTACTTCCAAGGCTAAACCACATAACAATAAAGAAAATTATTGGTACAGTTAAACGCAATAACCTTCATAATTATCTATTCATTTCATTTAGTTAACTAAAGGATAATATTTTTGATGGTAAATTAATTGATCTAAACTTGATTTTCTCATGTAGTAACTAGGTTTATCTAACGGGTTTGTTAAACTTGAAAACATGCAATAGGTAGTAATAAAGAATAATGTCAGATTACAACTATAACCTGTTTAATTACAAAAATAATAGTGTTTGTGTGTAAACGGAAACCACAAAGAATTACTGTTAATTAATTAAAACATTGGTTATCAAAGGCTCTTCGAAAATATGGGGCAATTTTATTATCCCCTCCCCTAATAAGATAGGCCTCACATTATGGCTATGAACTGTACTTCAAGCCCAAGTAATTAGTATTGGCATTCTTGAAGAAAAGTCAAAGTCATGGATGGTTTATAAGGCCGTCGGTATCTGACCCTGAATGTGACAAGGGTAGTCAAACAATACGAGCTTATTAAACATAATGGATTATTTTTATATAAAGCGGTATTATTTCTTTACAGAATTCTACCATTATTTATTTATTCCATAAAATTGCTGTTGTAACCAGAAAATTAAAAGTATATTAGTGTGTACTATACATTTATATGCATATGTTTCATCCTGTCAGGCTTAGGGGACCCAATTACCCCCTCCCCAATGTCCGCAATCTCTGAATCCCTAACAATCCTTAAATACCTACTAAACCTAAACCCAACCCCAAAGGCCAATAACACACTTGTAACGCCTGTGGTTTTCCAGGTGTCCATGGGTGATACTGATTGCTTGCCATCAGGTGATCCATCTGCTTCTTTACTGGCTAATCCCATAAAAAAGTATTCTTCTTAGTTTTAATTCAAACAATAAACATAGGTAGGAAGATAAAATTGTATAATATCACAGTTGGTAACAAAACAGACAAATTAATAAGGATTTATGTAATATTAACTTCAGGTAGGTAATATAGATAATATTTTCAAATCTAAGATAAAATACAGGTGTAAAAAATAATCGTCTAAATTGGAAGGTTAAATATTTTACTGTAAGGATACTTATTGCCACCAATATCCAACAATTGTTTTTGGATACTAGTAGACAATCACAACTTGCTTGGTATCCCAAAATATGTATTATGGTTACGGACCAAGTTAGACACTGTTTAATCTAACTGTTGTTACCATTTTCATTTATCGGTTTCTTTCATTTAATAAAACTAGATTTAAATAAGTTAGTAAGTACCTAACTTCTTGTGTATAATAATTCTCTTCAAAAACTATTTCAGCTAGAATTCAAATACCTCTGATTACATAATTACTAAACATGTGAATGAAATAATGAATAAAAAATAAATTTTCATTAGAACCTTAATTGTTCATTAGAGTAAAAATACTTCAGAAATACCTAGTTATAGGAGTATTTTTACTTGAGGTATTTATTTACACAGAAAACTGTAATGGAATTTTAATGGAATGAAAGTTAGGAAAAAAAGTCATTATGGCCCAGGAAATAAAGGTTATGGCTAAACTGGTGATGTGTAAACTTAACTCGTCGAGTACCGGTTTTGTAGACACAATTATAGAACAATAGGTTGCAGTCACCGGTGACCGCTTGGTGTTTGACAGTTTAATAGTAGGTAAAAGTAACTAGGTACTGTCATAAATTCAGAATGTGAATCAAATAATTGGAATTTTGAATCATTGTTTATTATGAGTAGTTACCTAATTAAGTAATAATATTCATGAGTAACCCAAACTAAACCTTAATATCTATGAAATGAAGAAATGAAAAGTATTTAATTCGACATATGTTATTAATGCAGGAACAAAACAAAAAGAATATACAATACTTTTCTAATTGTTAAAGATTAATTATAAAGAAAAAACCATGACATGATCTTAGATAAGAATTTCTACCAAAATACAGTTTCTACACATAGTACACATTTAACCTCAATAACTAACTAGGTTGAAGGTTTCTTATTAAACATTTTTTGCAATATTTTGGATAATTGGATAATTCCCTATGTTTACTACTTAGATTTTGAAACTAAAGAATGGAATGTAAACATTGAATTCTAAGTCTAAAAATACAAATAGATGTTATAATTACCAAGTTTTTCTAATGGTCAAGAGCCCTTTGGCTGGCCTCTTCCCTCCAGCATCGGTGATGACTGAGAATCGGTCACTCAGGCTCCTTTTTACTTCTGGAAAGCGACCTCCAGATGACAGTCTCAAAGACTTCCCTGTTACTAACGCTTGCGACTTCTTAGCTCCTAAATCTACTGCTTCCTCAACCACACCACTCTCAACTTGAAGTGATACTCTTTTGCTCTGCTTCCTATACTTTAAAGCAGCCTCTGACACATGGCCGTCAATCTCACGGTTCTTATTAAACCCACGCGCACTCTCACCAAACCCTTGGACGAAACAGAGCATAATTTCATCAGGATACGACTCCTTCATTTAGAAGGTCATAACTAAATTGTATAAACGAAATCCACTCGAATAAGGTCACAACAGCCACCGATCCGTTTAACAACAACTTTAATTCGCTAATAAACCTAGTCACAGGACATTTTCCAACTAGAAAACAGTACAGACTTCACAGAATTTCGATTACAAACTTATTTTGTTACGGTGTACGCAACTGGGTTACTAAAACACATTCAACATTGATAACTTTGCAATAAAATGGTAATTCACACAAACTCCGCGACGGGATTCGGTAATAATCAATTATAATTCACAGTTTCATTGTTCTATTATTAGCACGAAAACACTAATGTCCAAAAAATCGAAGGATTTTATGTAGGCCGCCGAAAAATATCGGGGTGAACTGACATTTCTTTTACGTTCGGTAACCGCCCGTAAGTCGCGTTCAGAAACACAATCTTGCACGGCCTCGGCTGTTTGCGAACTGACACCGGTTTGGCCGCCCCCACTCGGCCTAGCGTCCACGCGGCGACTCACAAAATGTGCGCCGCGTCGCAATGAATGGAGAATATGACGTCGTTTTGTGTGGTACACAACTACACAAGAAATGCCAATTTTTTCTACACCACGTATTACGTTGAGTTATTAAATCTAAATAACAAAGTATCTATCGTTCAATCTTACATTATATCTAGGTACCTATCTAAACAGATTTAATCCCGACCTTATACTTTATACGATAATAATAAATTAATGTCACTAAAATTCAATGCCTTTTATTTTCATTTTTCTGGGATGGGTACAAGATTACCACGATAGTGAACCTAGCCTACCAACTATAAATTGGCAATTAGGCATTAATCTATGTACTTACCTAGTTTCCCATTAATACCTACGAGGTATGTACGTGTGATAATGTCGGCTTGTTGGAGTGACCGCAAGGGAAAACCCAATTAAAAACAATGATTAAATACCTATTAAACATTACCTACCTACAGTTTTATGCACGTACCTACCTATACATAAATATAGGTAGGTATTAGCACGCAAAGAATTTCCTGTATTTGTATATTAGAAAACAAAGTACGATAAGTAAAGGAACTGTATTATAGGTACTTATTTGCGTATCTACCAAAGTAGGCAATTTGAACTACAGTACAAATACGTAACTGTGTCTTCCATTCCATTAACAGTCTTTTTAGGTGATCCGAGCCGCCTGATTTACAGCCAATTTATTAAATCACCTATATATAAAAATTGTGATGATTAAAAAATACCTACTATATAAAGTACTCTTGCCAGAATCGGGCAATAAATAAAACTACGATACATGGACAAAGAAAATTGTCAAACTGCACGTCAAGAGCGGTGGAGCCTGGAGATTAGTTAATACACATACATATGTGGGTAAATCCCTATTCTTTGGAGTACGTATATCAAATCACCTTCGCTTACTTTCTAATTTTGACTGCACGGTTAGTGCGGTGGCTGGGCAACCGGCTGCCGTGTAACGTGTCGCGGGTTCGATTCCCGCACGGAACAACACTTTGTGTGATCCACAAATTGTTGTTTCGGGTCTGGGTGTCATTGTGTGTATGTGAACTTGTATGTTTGTAAACGCACCCACGACACAGGAGATAATCCTAGTGTGGGGCAACGTTTTTAAAAAAAAAAAAAAAAAAAAAAATTTCAACTCGTTTATAAAATTGTAGGATTGAAAAATAAATTAGGTATCCCATTGCGTGACGGCCCATTTTGGATCAATACTGGGAAAACAAAGCAAAGTGAAGGATCGTCAAGGTTACCGGGAACCAAACTCACATTGTAGGGCTGGAAGTTTATATGTTAAAGTCATAATAAAAAAAGGAATTAGAAGTCGCGTCGCTTTTAGGATAGCTACGAAAAGGAATCTGGATTAGAAACTGGATTCTAAGTTACCCAAAAATATAAAGGAAATTCGACTTGCTTAATTTTGGAAGAGGTATCTATAGATGAAATAAATAGAAACTTCCATGATAAAGGGACGACTGTCTGGCCGGATGACTTCCAGATTGTATGTAGTGGTGTAAGCTATTACTCCAACAGTTATAAAGCGTGATGTCCACAGTGTCCAACTTAAACTCAGCCTGCAATGAAACTGTTATACTTACATTATCTTTCAATGAAGGTAGTTTCATAGAAAACTAAGTAGATAAGCTACCAAATTCTTGTCGTAGATACGCATTACCTATTATTCAACCAGTCGCACTTTATGATTGATGGAGGCCTTGAAATATAGCTAAAGATCATGAATCGAGATAGACGGCGAGCAGTCCGTGAAATTCGTGAAATCGTATTCACTCGTGGGAAAGTAAAAACCACGTAACGATTGAAGTAATGGCAAATTGGTTAATTTAGAAGTCGCGTGTACGATTTTCGTCAAGAAACATGCGAGCTTTCCCATTTCAATATCTGATTAAAGCCGGAGTCAAAGATTATTTAGGTAACAGACCAATATCCTATTGAGTTTACCTTGAAGGTTTAAATTTTCTGCGTAGTATAAAGTAACGATACGCGAGTCTTTACTTGACCCCGAAGATATAACGAGGGTGGTGGGTGCTACTGAACTATCTTTGTACTAACTTATAACCCATTCGTAAGTCGGATAAACAAGACATCATGCTCGATCAAAGAGGAAATGAAAAATGGTTGCCTGTAAAGTCGTTTTTACGGGCGAAGATTTTACGTGACAACGTCTTTTTCTCGGTAGAATATTTATTGATATGGATATAATTAAATTGCACAATAGGAACAAGGAATTGAATGAACTAGTGCTGCGCACGCGGCAGACCGATCATAGTTGAGTGGGAGAGAGACGCAAGGCATTCGGCGGGCCTCTCTCTCGTTCGGTGACTCATCGTAACGTTACCGAGCGTTACACTTTTTCATAAGTGACTCCCAGCCGCAACCTAATTTAAGACGTTGTCACGTCAAAAAAGAACTTGAAGACTTCAAGAATGAATGACCTCATTGAGATTAAAATCTTCGTTCTCTTTACAGTTTTATTCTCAACAGTAATCCATCTTTGTCCTGTTTTCAATCGATTAATTATTTCTTTTAATGTAATCAAGAAACGGAAGAAGCGTTGTTCTTGATCAAAGAAAAACAAAATCGTTATTTTTTTATTAGGAAACTTAAGTAAAATGATGTTTGAAGAACGACTCGCTTTTTATTGGACTGTAATAAAATATATTGCTGTTGATTTTTGGGTGTCTAATAAAGTTACTGAGAGTTATAAAGACATTTTATTTCTATTTGTCTTTCGTCCTAAATTTGCATTTTAGGGACAAGTTTCATGAGGACCCCCCATTTTGTGATTGTTAACTTTATCGTATAACCATCTAGATAGGTAGGTAGTATTTTTAGGTACTTCTTTTTTAATGGACGATATATTTTATAAGTGACGAATGCTACAATTATCTCGATAACACAAAGCAATGCATACTGGTGCTTCCGTCGCCTTTTGAGAGCTCGGTGGAAAAAAGAATGGAAAGTGTCGGGCAAAAGTTGACAATTGAGCATATTGCCCTAAATGAACTGATAAATTAGGAGACTTTTACAACAAATAAATTGTGGTAGCTACATTTTAGCCTTTGAGGAAAATCATCATTTACCAAACCAAGCCATTTTTTGGTAGGTACTTCAATGTTTTCAAACTCTGATCGCAGAATACGATACGAACTTATCCTTCCTCCCCAATTTCTAGCAAATCGCTTCCAATCATTTATATTGTAAACATCTAAACATCCGCCATCATAACACGTCTATTCCGTAAGTCACAAGTACGACGCGAACGAAAACAGGGTTTGTACCGATCGATATAATCCGGTACCTACAGGAATCTCCTAGGATACGGGGAAACAAACTTGTGTTAGGTATTACCCACTTATCTATACAGGATAAAATTATAAATGGTGTTACGAATTGCGTAATAGGAAATTGTTCGTTGAATTTGTTGTTACTATGTTGTATGGTATGTTTTTTCATGGAATGAGCCGGTAAACGAGCAGACGGATCACCGGATGGTAAGCAATCGGCACCGCTCATGGACACCTGCAACACCAGAGGCGTTACAAGTGCGTTAGCAGCCTTTTGGGAATTCGAAATTTTAAGATAGTGGGAGATTCCGAGATTTGGGAGTCTGGGGAGGGGGTATTTGGGCCTCCGGTAACCTCAACCTCACTAACACGACGAAATAGAACACAAGCATTGTTTCACGTCGGTGTTCTTTGAGGCCATGGTAGTCATATCACGGCTTCACCGAACCTGAGTTATCCGGTCGAGCCTACCCATTCGTGCCGAAGCATGGATCTCCCACAGTTACTTGCAGGACCTGATTGTATAATTTAGCACTTGTATTGCATCATCAGCAACAGCCTGTACCTGTCCATTGTTGGACTATAGGCCACTTCGTGAGATGGTTTACGTTACATACGACAATTGGGTTTCAGACCGAACTTTGAAAGGTTCAAGTATCTAGCCGTATCTATCAAATGTATAGTTCCATTGTCGGCTTTTACGACAACAGCGAAAAAATGTTTTTAGAACAGTTATTTGTGTTGTTACTGACGGTTTCAGACCTTCAGTGACTTCAGTCATGTCATCTTGTTAACAGCAACTTATAACGTAGTCAATAACAAATGAATGCTAATCTGCGTTTAGTTAGAACCATGCTAGTACAGAGTACAAACATATTAAGTAACAGAGATGAAGTAAGGAAGTAGTTTAGTCGGTGGCGCTGTGGGATGGGTCGTTCCGTTCCCTACGAAATGGTTGATCGGACCGATTACTGGCCTACACGACATACCCGTGAACGGGTGCCTTCTGCTGGAACAGGTCGGCTCGCTCATCGTGCTGGTGGGCTGATTCAGTATGGTTACTCTAAGATAATAAGACCATAATAATTAGGTAACAACATAAAGTATTGTGTGTAGTGATAGTGGTAGGCGTAGCATGTAAGATCTTTATAAAAAAAAGTATTTGACCATGGAAATTATGTACTTGTAATATGACAAGGGCACGGACACTAGTCCGTGGAGAAAAGAAATTTATTATTTATTAAAAAAAACTAATTAGTTTAAATTAGGGTAAGTGTGCCTGTTCGCGTACACCCTACTAAAGTTCACCAGTTCGCGTCCACCCATGGATCGAATCGTCATGATTGTAAGATACTTATAACGTGAAAAGGTCAAACAGATGTCAACTAAATGCGATTTATATGATGATAATTTTCTAATTTTCGGGATTTTTTAAAGGGCGTTCCATAACATGGATGCGAACTGGTGGGTGGACGCGAAGAGGAGAACTTACCCTATCATGAAGTAAGGAAAGAATATACAGTGTGTTAGGTTAAACGAGGGACTTATTGAGGGAGGGTATTCAGTATTCGATTCTCGTCCCGAATATGTAAAAAACCTATAACCAAAATTTTTGAGGTAATTGTCCAATAAAATACATCATCATGAACACTGAG